AACCCGGGGATTCCTGGTACGGATCTGCCTGGGATGCCCTTCTCCACTCGAGACAGGGATAACGACAGAAATATTGCTGCTCTCAGTAACACTAGAGGAGGCTGGTGGTTTAACTCATGTCGCCAAGCCTTCCTTAACGGTCTCTGGTCCGCAGAACCCTGGGTCTGGAGCAACCCATGGCGTTCTACAGTGAGAGATAGTATATCGATAAAGAGACGCTCATGATGATAAAACGCCGTTGATAAAGTTACATGATTTATTAATGAACTGCTGATGTTGACTGTGGTATATCTTATAGTGAGAAATTGTATAGAAAACTGTTAAGATGATAAAACCTCATTGACCGTCTCATATCTTATTTATTGACCAGTTAATATAATTTGAAGATATTGATTATTTCGTTTATACATGTACATATAAAGTCGGATAAAGTAACTAAAAATGAAGTCTTTATCCTAGTCTTGATAGTGTTTTCTTCTGTTGATCTAATTTTTTTATTTACTATAATTAATGAAAAAAATTCTAGATCTGCGTCTGTATTAAAAGTTGACTAGTCGCAAATATAGAAATGTATGTTCAAAGAAAATAATTTTGATTATTACGGCAAAGCATTTTTGTTATACTACAATGAAATGTATGGCAATAACAGTATTTAAGCTAAATTGACCTTATCCAAAAATGCCACTTGGGATTTAAACATGAATTTAGGGACTGATTTAGTCCCCTTACCTCCTTTACGGGTTTTTTTTTTAAAGTATCTGTTTTCACATTTTGATTTATGATAAAGTTTTTTTTAAATATAAAACAATCCTATATTAGAGTACATGTACATTTACGCAGATATTATTTCTATGCCAAAAAAAATAATAATCAATTTTAAAATAATTTTATTCTCCAAGTCTTTTTCGTAATTTTTTTTTCCAAAGTCTATATATAACAACCCCCTTGGCACGCAAAAGATCGTTTCTCTGGTTTTCGGAAAAGAGTAGGCTCACTAGGGGCCGCCAGAAAAACCAAAATACTCTCAAAACTGATCATTGAACATTCCTGCCGAAATATGGCTGAAATATTGCCGACTCGGCGTTAAACACCAATCAATCAATCCAAAGTCTATATTGAACACTTATTTCCTGCCTGAAAAAGAGTAGAATTTGTGTGTGTTACATGTATGTGAATTGTCTTTTTATATTGAAAGTGACGGAGGGGTGTGCTTATGTTATCACCATATTGTTGGAAATTTATACGGGTGCAGGGAAGGGGGTGTTACATCAAAATATATCGACAATTAAAGCATCGCCATAATTCATCTGAAGTACAAACAACGTATTTCTTTATCCGCATTTTGGGGAAGGAGTGGGATACCTATGTAAAATTGTATGGTAATTTCAAAAGAATTTCATAAAATAGAAATATTTTTAAACAAATGTTTACACTAGGTGGACTGTCTTGTTTCTAATATGTGTATATACTGTATAACCATCTATGCTTTCTGCATCATGTCTTGTGTTTTGTGAAGAAATTTAGCGTCATATATCAGCAGTCTCGTTTAAAGTCATCATTTTGTGGGTTCTATGGTCAATACAATGACCTTGTCAGCAAATACATGGAATGCGTATTCAATTTCTAGTAACAATTCCCTGCAATCCAATTTTCTCTCTGAATCTATGGTGTAAGACATATAACTTAAGTACATATTGATCAAGAGCTTATCAAAATAATCATTTAAAATAAATATTTTCATTGATTGAGAATTAAATGTTTTATTAAATTCAATGTAATTGATAAATGCAAAACACTTTGATGTCTTTATTTTGAATAAAAAAAAACACTTGAGATTTTAATTTCTAACATTACTATGAAATAGTTTAAGGCATAAAATGGGGAACATTTCTTTACCATTATTTGTGTAAATTGCCATTAAGGAAAAGCCGCTGCAATAGTAACTTTTGCAAACTGCTCAATGTGAGCGCGACTTTTAATTTTAATTGATAAAGTTGCTCATAAAATCATAAAATTAAGATAATCTTTTAATCTGACATTCCTTGTTGTGGTGTAATTTAATATTTATATTTTACATAAAAACTGATGAAAATCCTTAACATTCAAAAAGCCATGACATGCCGAGGAAGTGCAACGTAAAAACAGCACAAAAACAACGCTTACAATGAACAGAAGCTACAACAATGGTTCTTCCATTAACTGTAGCTTACAGTAAGCAAATGCACGGGTCTTCAAATATAAATAATTGTTGCAGTCCAGAACGGGATCGAAAACATATCGATATAAGCAATGAATTATTATTGTTGGAAAGATATAAAATTGTTACTCAATTTTTTTGTACACCTCACAAAAGTTATGAGACTATATTTTTCCAAAAAAATTATTATTACACTCAAAACATAATAAGAAGAAGGTGTGGTTTTAGCTTTATTGCGCCCTAAAAATGTAATGACATCAAAAGTTTTGAAACTGGCTTAAATATTAGTCAAATGACTCTGATAAATCAGGAAAGAATATGGTATGAAGGTTTACTATTCTGCAAATATGACGTCATTAATGTGAAGCATTTTTCTATTCTCAACAGAAAAAGCCTCAAAATGGCACATTTCAAGGGTGATTTTCCTTTAGAAAACAGTGTCCACAGCCGTCGCCCACATTAATTTTTTGATATTTTGTGCAAAATTCAATAACAAATCACATATCTCAAGATCTTTGTGGGCGATGCCTGTGGACAATGTTATCTGAAAGAAAATTCCATTGAAAATTGGTGTCTTCTGCAACTTTTTAAGAAAATACGGGAAAATGCATATGATTATGACGTCATAATTAGCATTTAAAAGCACATGTGAGAAAAATGACTTGTATGATTTTTCTGCATTGAATTTCAATTATTTAAAAGGCATGAGTTTTCAACTGTCACCCCAGTTTCAATTTTTAGAAAATCACAGGGCAAAATTTTATTTGAAACCATACCTCCTTCTTTATTGCTGAAATGAATGTTGTAGCTTTAAAACACTTTTGAAACGAAATGATCTGTTCAGTCATGCACAACAACTTTCCTTCAATACAATTTTTTTTATTCATGAAAAATCAATATATTTTATATGTACATCATATTGTTACATTTATTATTTACAATAAATAGATCTTAAAGTGTAGAAACAGTCTAGTATTTCACACAACCACGACGGACGGACTCTCACCAACTGGCTCCCATTGGGTTTCCGGTCTAAGTAACGGGGTTGTCACAAGTATCACTCAAAATGGCTAGGACCTTTAAAGTAAATAACATGTTTAAATCGTAGGTAGCATATACTTTGAATATAACAAGTAAACATTCACTAACATTGCACTAATGGCACACCAAACAAATAGTACCGGTAAATCTAATAAAATATTTGTATATTTATAAATAACCTCAAGAATACATAACTTCTTATCAAAAGTGATTTTAACAAATAAACGCAAAACATCGATTTGATAAGCGGCCAAACAACATTCCCTACGCGCGTACCTAAGCTTGCACATTGAACAAAACAGCAAAATACACGCATGAGATATTCTACGCAGTAAAACTAGTACTAATTATTTCGTTTACCTACTAATATCATCAGATAATTTAAAAAAAAGACAGGACGTTATATAAAATGAATATAATATATTACGAAAAAATAATGCAAAATTATATCAGTTCATTTAGCTTCAAAAATATTTTCAGAATAAGATAGACGATATGTATATAAATAATGTCATTACATTTAAAGGAATTAGATCAATAGTATTTTATGATATATGTAAAACAATACCATGGCTAGGATAAAGACATAATTTATGATAAGTTATCCGGTTTTATATATACATGTTTAAATAAATAAAAAAACAAAAGAAAACTGTCTATATAATATTTAATGGTGTTTACCTAGTGAGGTTTTATCATCATCAAGGTCCCCCTCACATCTGTCCCCGAAGTTACTGTAGGATGCCATGGTTCGGCCCAGGACCCCGGGGACCAGGGACCGTTAAGGAAGGCAGAGTGACAAAAATAAAACCACCAGCCCCCTCCGTACCAAGCAGCACAGTTACCAGCACGGCCTTCTCTTTCATTCCCATCATTATCCCTCTCCGGGGTGGAAAACTTCATCCCATTCAGGTCGTTATTATAAGTAGTGTCTCGCATACTGTCACCTACAGAAATCAAATATGCAAAACATGATAGTGTCTTCTATATCAAACCAGATCAATCCTTTTTTTTTATAATATTCAAAGTTAAAAAAGATACATACTATATTATATATAAATTGATATTGAACAATTTCACTTGCATTAATCTCATTACCAGCATTAGAAATGATATTATTTAATTGATATGGACAAATGCGGGTAAGAAACAGCTATTTCAATGATAGGATATCATTGTATCATTCCCATTTTTATGCACCCGGATCGATAGATTCGAGGTGTATATTGTTTTTGTCCTGTCTGTCTGTCTGTTTGTTTGTTTGTCTACAAACTTTAACCTTCGCCATAACTTTTGAACCATAAAAGATAGAGACTTCATATTTGATATGCATACTCCACTAATTCAGCACTTTTAATGACACCAAGGTCAATGAACTTGTGACCTTGACTGTGACCTTTATGCTAAAAATAGCTTTTTTGAACTTTGTTGCTGCTGGGCGCATAGTGTTTCACAAACACATCTTTTGAACGTTTTATTTTCTTAAACTTTATTATTATCATACTAGAATTTCCCATTAAAATAAAAGGACTTTTGCTTGAGCTTAAGTTTTCCTCTACGCACAAAGTGGATTAAAAAGTGAAAATAAAATGATTTTTGAAAGCTAGAAAGAAATTAAAATTAAATCACTGGGTAACGCACAAGATAAATTTAATACATCTACCTAATAATTCAATAGCTGACTCTTCCTGGAGAGGATTTGTAGTTTTTGACCTATTTAGAAATATCCCTTTCTCTGTCTTTTTATTGATAGTCACAAATATTATTTGCCCAAATTCCTGGTAGCTGGTCCCCCGAGAAAGAGTCTGTAGTTGTCAGATTCGTCAGAGACCGAAAACTGATGATAACGTTCGTATAACGTTGTACCATTTCTTAATGTAATGGATACGTAGAGGGAGGAGTTCTTTCCCTTTGTCAGTTGATGAATCACGTCATTACCTGCATTATATTATTGTTCTAGTTAAATCAGCAAAAATAACCATGATGAAGAAAAGAATTGTAGTAAAGTTAGCATGATAAATATAAAAAATAATTTTATTTAACTTAGTTAATTGCAACCAAATATATTTAAATATTCTACAGAGAAGTTATGTTAGCAATCTTTATAATTAGTTATAGGATAAGAAATGTTTAACTAAGACAGCAATACATAAATCTGAGATTTAATTAATTAAATATTCACCTATCCAGTAAGAGTCTGTTACGTTTCCAAATCCTTTTTTATATTCCTCCCAAGTTCTGTTAAAGCCAACAGAACCGCTTATCCGTTTCTGAATTGCCTACAAAATATAACGAAAAAATATTCCCAATAATGGAATGATCATCATATTTTGCAACTTTTTATTAATGTTCATTTTTTATTCTTATTATTTCTTAAAACATTCAAATTATGCATGTCGCTCACGTGGCGCAGTGGGAAGAATGTCTGGTTTAGAGTCGCAAAGTAAGGAGTTGATGTTTACGCCTCATGTTTGAATTTCACCGGGGGTCGTGATGCCCTGTTGTTCGGATAAGACTGTATCAACCGGGTCCCATGTAGTATTATGTGTTGGAACGATAAAGATTCCTCCCTGCTCAATGGCCCGGAGTGCCGAGTATAGGACAAAATTTGTAACTCACCACCGGCAAGTAGTGGTTTCCCCATATGACTTGAAAATTTTCCAGAGGGACGTTAACAAATATGCAATCAATCATTAAAAATATACATGCAGACTGTGGCTTAAATATGAATGCCAATTTCGTCATTTCTAAGGCTTAATTATTTAAGGCATATATATATTTTTAAAAAACAGTCCATTGTTTGTGCGCTGGATTTGCAGCGGATTTTTCCTGTGTGTCCCGATCATGACAGGGAGCACATGGCGGGTGGGACCGGTCAGCAGGGCATGTTCACTCCTTCATTGCACCTGATCCCACCTCTGATGTTTCTGAGGTCCGTTTTTGCTCTGATTCTATTTTGAATTGTTTATGGACTTTGATATTTAATACTGTTCATTATCTTCATATCTTCCATATAGAAAACGATAAAAATACTTAGTAAGTTGTAGTTGTAGTAAAATAAAATACCAATTTCATTCTAATTCACACAAGTTCTTAATCAGCATAAAGGAAAAACTAAGAATCTGAAGAAGTATTGAACTTATATTACTATATATTTAAAAGTAAATATTATTTTGAAAGAGAAGGAGAGAATGAGAAAGAGTGGGTTAAGATCGAGTAAAAAAAAGACGGAAACAGAGATAATGAACTAAGATTATTATAAATTTATGAGTAATATTATTTTTAGAGAGAGAGAGAGGGAGAGAGAGAAATATATAGAGAGAGGATTCTTACTGTCCACCCTCCTTCTTCAGTCTCCATGTCACAGTAAACTTTGACGTAGCTTCCGTTGCCAAATGGATCGATAAGATATTTTCCAGACTGCTTGTGTCCAGCAAAAAATAGATCCTGACAATCAGAGTTTATTTTTAAGCCTGAATATAAATGAAAAAAAGACGTTTATGATATTGTATCAATGAATACACAAACATCGATCGAGTGAGAGTAAAAATTAAAAGTATTTTTTTTTTTGGATTAAAGAAATGTTTATTTACCACCTTTGATCATGGTTACATCTTCCTCGAGTCTCTTCATCATCTTCTTGAGGGAATCTACAATTTCTTGGAACCTCTCTTGCTGAATCAGAACCTCTCGTATTTGCATCATTGTCTTTCCATCACTAGCACAGCGATCGTTTTCTTCCGAGTAAATTTTCTGAGGACTTGTACACAAGAAACTGCAAGCAAGGATCACTGCCCACACCATTGCCATGATTAGACTTTCCTGTTGCTAACTTACCGAAGGTGCTTCTAAAATAAAGCGTTTCTTGAAAATACGCATAGTTTTATATATAGCCCTAAACACGGAAGATTAAAATTTAACCAATAATATAAGTCAATGCCTTTAACCCCTAAACGTCACTTAAATGTTGAGCTAAAATTTTTGTATTCATGGAATAATTGTAAAAGTCAGATAAGCTTATCAAGCATGGATCAGGGTCCTAATATCAGAGAGGAGGCAAGCCTTTACTCCAACTATTCAAGGCTTGTGCTTTTTTTTAAAAGAAATAATTATTAGCTTTTCACAAGTTAACACAATTCAACATCAACAAACAAATACAGAGCACAATGGATTTCTTAATACCTTTTGTTCTTGTTACAAAACTGCACAATTTTAGATGAGTACTTTAAACGACAACCTCGTGAAAAAGGCTTTACAGAAAAAATCCCAGTTAATGATAATACCAGGGTTATTCATAAATGTTCTTATTTAACCCGTTTTTGTGTATGTTTATACAGTGAAGGAGAGTCTTTTGCCTCTTTCCAAAAAAGTAAAATTATATAGAAATACCTTGAAAATGGAACCGGAACCCAATTTCATGGAATTTAATGTCTGTTTTCAGTCCAGCCTCTGACAGCATTCAATCCTGACATTAGATCAATTTAAAAAAAATCAACAAAAAGCCGATCCAAAATTATAAAAGTAAACACCAAAAAATATTAATCCTTCTAATTTTTTTTCTTGATATATTTCACTAAAAAGCAAAAGCCTTCTTATGCATAAAATGGTTCTGTACTTATATCAATTAATTAACTATCACCTTCTTTCCCATCTCATATATCAAAATAAAGATAACACTTGGTGCTTTCATTTTCTATAATAGAATTTCGTTTTGAAAGTCCAGATATTGGATAATAGATTTGAGAAATTGCAATGTTCTTGAAATTTGCAGAAAACATGCTTATTTGACTTCCTTCACCAAAGAATTAAAATATGAGCACAGCCCACGATCCAAAAAATGTAACATGCTTTTTGATCTTCAGAAGCAGAGCTTTCATTATGTATTTGCATATTTTGGTTCAGAGGTTGTGCTCTATATGAAATATTGAAAAAATGCTTCAAATTTAGGTTATTTTAGGTCATCTTCAGGAAAATGACGCATTTATGACGCCATAATGCATTGCCTAGATTGGAAATTACGTCAAAATTAATAGATACATGGTCTCCAACACTCTAAGTAATAAATACTGCAAGCAACCTAAACTGATCGTTTTGGATTTTTCTCAAGGCCAAATAAGGCCAAAGTGGCTCTTGCTCCTTAAAATCAATAAAAAATTACACCATTTCTAGTATTTAGAAAAATGTTATAAAGACACAAAATCGTTTTTTATTTATCAATTACAGTCCAATTTGAATTTAAATGTCAATCATTGCAAACATTGATTTTGAATGATTGTTTTGATAGGCTTTTATACATGTGGCACCGTTACATGTATTACTAGCAGGTAATTTTCAGCACCCTGAAGTGTTGTTGTAATATAGAAGAAGATTACCAATTGATTTAGAGAGAAAAAAGGGAGATGGGAGATTGTTACAAGAAATATAATACATATTGTATATGGAATATATACAATGCGCCATTTATCAAAGGATGGAAAATTCCTCCCCCCCCCCCCCCCAAAAAAAAAAATACAAGCAAAAAATACAAAATACTGGAAAAAAGCCATTGACGAAAAAAGAATTGGAAGATTTTTTGAAGCACGCTTGTTTATTTCAAGAAATGTGTTCAAAGTATCTTTTAGAAAAAAAAAAAGCTGAAAATAAATTACATGGGATGGTGATTTAGTCGGTTGTCTGTATTGCAACAAAAACTGTAGAAGAGAGCTCTCTATTGGTCTTTCAATGGAAATTCCCATACACGTGCTAAAATACTTATAATAACGGTAGGAACAGTGTCCAAGTGATATAGTCCTAGCATGATGATATTACCGTTACAGGAGTAAAAAGCACTGACGGTCTAATTTGACATTTAAACCTGTTCCATGTACGGAAGTACATTATTGATTATAGATAAGAAAATCACGCAACAAATTAAAGTCTTTACTGTTTGTGTATTTTTTAAAATTATTAAATAAGGATATAAAGTGTAAAGTAAAAGTTTATTGGAAATATGCAGTATTCTTTGGATGTGTATTAACTTTTTACCTCCTTCTGGGTTCAATGAAGACATTTTGTGGTTTGTATAAAACAGGAATCTTGATAGGCCCCGTGTCACGCATACATATCAATGGTCTTTTGTTTTTCCAAGGAGATTAATTTCGATTCGGATATAATCAGGCAAAAATAGAATACTTATATAAGTATGAATGAATAATGTCATTTATTTCGTAAACAATCTTGCGAGTGTATTGGAAAACGAGATGTTAGTTCTTAATGTCTGTTCGAGAAAAAGTGTTAAATAAATCAATGTTATAAGTATCTTGTTGGAGATAAATTTAGCGGGGATGGAGATTTGGACAGTTGTGTGTATTGCAACAAAAACTGTAGAAGAGAGCTCAATTGGTGTTTCAATGGAAGTTCCCATACACGTCCTAAAATACTTATAATAACAATAGGAACACATGAGTAATATGATACAAGCGCAGAGAAGCACTGACGGTTTACTTTGACATTTAAACCTGTACCATATACGGAAGTACATTATTGATTATAGATAAGAAAATATTTCTAGTGGTCATGGTTATCGTGTTTGGGGCACTGACATGAAAGATTTGGAGATAACGAAGAGTATTCAAGATCAAAAGTTCATTAAACAATACAAAATAGGAAAGGACTAATCACGGACCTCCAAGCATTTGAGGGTAGAGAAGTTGTCGGATTCTTCGTGGACAAAATATATTTCTGCCTGTTATTTTCGTTTTATTTAATGTTGAGCAAAAGTCCAATACCCTATCTATAAAAATAGCAAGAAAAATTTCAAGACTATTATATAAGTAGTTTTATATCATATATGGATTAAAATGTGTAAGAAATTCGGCTTTCAAAGTTTTTTTTTTCGCAGAAATGCAGCGTTCTTTGAATATGTGTAAAATGAAAACAGGAATCAAATAGGTCCCGAGTCACGCGTACATATCTATGGTTCTTTATAATTTTTTTAACTTTTCCTAGAAGATTGATTTCATTCCATATAAAAACAGGCGAAAATGGAACACATAAAAGAATTAAAAAAAAAACATTTATTTTATAAATGAAAAAAAAAAAACAGGAGTCTTCATAAACATGTAAGAAGGATATGGAAATAACGAACAGTATTCAATCTCAACGTCCATTAAACAAATATACAAAATAAGAGCAGAGCAAACACGGACCTCCAAAACATCAGAGGTGGGATCAGGTGCCATGGAGGAGTGAGCATCCCCTGCCGACCGGTCACACCCGCCGTGTGCTCGTTGTCATAATCAGGAAATAACGGAAAAAATCCGTGGTCAATTCAGTGTATAAATAATGGACTAACAATTGGTATGAAAAACGTCAGTCAGCATTTCATTCAATGATAAATTGTATTTGCTGACAAGGTCATTGTATCGACCATAGAATTTACGAAATGATGACTTTAAACGAGACTGTTGATATTCTTGTTTCATCAACTTGCTTGTCAATAATTTACCTCGTTTAAGAAATTGTTCATACGTAGAGCATGCTCTTGCGTATCGAATCAACTGAGATATAAATACTCCGTATGCAGGTGATGAAGGTATATTGCTGCATAAGTAAGGGAAGTTGACGATAGAAAAGTTAAAGTCATCACGTTTATCATATAGCTTGGTTGTTAGATTACCATTAGTGTCTTTTTCAAGTAAAATATCCAAGTATGAAGCAGAAGTGTCGGACTCTGTGGTATCTTTTATCTCAAGCTCACCAGGATATATCGTGTCGACGTAGGAATGGAAATTATCATTATTAATTGACAATACGTCGTCGATATATCTAAATGTCGAGTTGAAGGCCACAGCAAGTGTTTTCTTCTTTTCACGCAAAAGATTTTGCATAAATTCTGCTTCATATGAATATAAAAATAAGTCTGCTAATAACGGAGTGCAATTTGTACCCATGGGAATTCCAATAGATTGTTGGAATACCTGGTCTCCAAAAACCACATAGATATTGTCAATCAGAAACTCAAGCATCTTCTTGATGTCAACTTCAGAGTACTTATGTGTGCAATCAGAATCTGTTTTAACAAAATAATTTTTCAAATGACCAATGACGAGGTAAGTAAACTTACGAGTTCCATTTTTGTTGAAGAAGCAGCTGTCAATGATATCAAAAAGCCTGGATTTTAATTTGTCGTGGGGAATTGTTGTGTATAAAGTTGAAAAGTCGTAAGTTTTTATGCTGTTGATTTTTGTAAAGTCTTGTGATTTCAAATTGTCCAAAAGTTCTTCAGAATTTTTAGGTATCCACATCTGATTTACACCACTTCTTGAATATATAGTTGTACAGTACTCTTGAAGTTTTTCCTTCACTACTGTCAATATTTTAGTAAGAAGTAACGAAAGAGGCTTGGTTGAACATTTACTGGAACCAGCAATGTATCTTTGTTTGTAAGGATTCTTATGAAGTTTCGGAATCCAATATATAAAAGGTAGTTCAAATTCATTTTGGCTCTGTGGAATATTAAAAGTATTCAAAACTGACAGGTGATTTTGAAGAATTTCTTCTTTAGAAAGAGAAGTATATGTATAAGTAGGATTACCACTGGTAGAATTAAATCCAAGTTCTTCTAGAATGCAATTTATATAATGAACCTTACAAACGAAGACAATGTTATTACCTGCTTTGTCGGCAGGAACCAGTACGTACTGATCGTGTAATCTATCTAATTCTTTTTTCACTTCTGGTTTATTGAACACAGAAGGATAGATGGTTTTCATTTTGCCCCTCAATCTTTTAATACGTGACTTTAACATGGATCTGATACATTTAATCCATTCTGACAAGGTGTCAATGTCTTCTTTTTCAT